ATTTTCAGCCAGGTTTTGGAATTCTTTAATTGCCCCTGAAAAACTAGAATTACTACAGTCCCCATGCTCCTTCTCACGAAGGCCTGCCTAGAACCTGTGATGAGCAGATAAAGTGAATATAATACCTGATAAAACCTTACAATTTTGTTCCATTTTGAGAGCCAAACTAAATTTGCAGTGAATCGACATTTCCTTTCCAAAAGCTCTCTTGTGACCGGAATACTGGTAGACGTGCACCAGGGAAATTTTCGTTTCGTACAAATGATTTCATACTAGATAAAAATTTAATTAGTTAATCCCGAATTTCGTCTGTAAACCATTCGTTTTCGAACAAAATTTGGTAAAAAAAATAATGTGTTTTCGTCCATTAGGATGAAAATAGAACTGAGCATGCGCCCCCCCAAAAAAGCAAGGAGGAAGCCAGGAGCACTACCAGCTCCCTCCTTGTAACAGAAACCATTCGTACACCCCCCCTCCCCCCACTTTAAAACCTAATTAATAAAAGGGAGATTAAATCCTCGTGGCATGCTTCAAATAGGGGCATGTCACCTAAACAGCGAGCATCGACTGGCTGCTCCCTGTCATTTAACACTAAATATAAATCCGTATGAGGGTCACTATGACCCCCATATTGATAAAAGGGAGGTTAATTCCTCCTGAATGCCTCAACTCGTGGGGGACTCACTTGGGGACCCCGAGTCACATTATTATTTGTGGTCTCAACCAGCCAGTCATGAGAGGGGACCAGGGGGGACATCTGGTTTCCCCTTTAATTAATTAGGGTCCCCACCCACCGCTCATGGGTGGGGACCTAGGGGGGACATTTGGGTCAGATGTGAGGGTGCGGGGGGGCACTATGTTCCCCCCATTTTAGTTATTTGGGTTCCCCACCATGGGGAAACAGGGGAAACTGTGCCAGGTTCCCCCTTAATGCACTAACGACTGGGCAGCAATAGTTGCCCAGTCACTAGTAGTTTCAAATGACAGCGAGCAGCCACTGCGAGTAGGGGCATGTGGGAGGATTTAACCTCCCTTTTATTAATATGGGGGTCATAATGACCACCATAGGTTTTAATGCGGGGAGGGTTGGAAATAATATTTATTACAAGGAGGGATCTGGTAGCACTGTCGCTTTGCTTTTTTTTTTCACGCATGCGTAGTGATATTTTCTCCGTGCTGTGGGAGTTAATTGATTCTACTGCAGCACAGAGTCTGTTTAACGAAAGAAACAAAATGAAAAGGTAATGCATTCGGCATTTGCCCTTTCATTTTGGTTACATTTCATATGTAGGGCTTTTGTTTACGTTTTAGTAAATGAATACGAAAATACTGGTCATATCCTATACAGTGATTATTCAAGGAGGACATTCTGATACTTTTTCCTTTTTATTTTGTCTGTTTGTTGGTGGTGGCAGCTTTTATACTAGAATAGGTGTGGATGGTCTTTAGATGGATTTTTTGTATCACTACTTTAGTGCATGGTATAGTGCTGACAAATAGTGATTGTTTAACCCCTTCACTCGCATCACGTACCCAACTGGGAGTGCTGGTGTTCATGATACACATATATTCCAAACTGCCCAATTATTATAAAATCTTTAACAGCAAACCTAATCTTAATCCTAAATATAATCCTAGCTACAACCCTAATAATTCGATTAATATAAAATATACATAAAGGTTAAAAGTATATTATAGGAAAATAATGCCACCTCAGGGTTACGGAGACTCTTGCAAACTATGCAACCCATTAAGTCTTGGTTTGTTATGATACCTCCTGAAACTTGAGGTTGCATTATTGTGCCTTAATATATGTTTCTCAGTTATGTATATTTTATTTTATGTTGCTGCCAGAGGTGTAACTCCACCTCCAGTCTGGCTAATGTTAATCCTGTGCATATTCTGTGCACAGAGTTTCATTCATTCGCTCTATGCCAATGAATGAGCATCAGGATCAGTGGGAGCTGCAAAAAAAAGATCCACGTAAGTGGCAAACTATTGCTATATGGGTTATCAATGTACTGGACAATGATGTATGTTTACTACTGGCACTATAACCACTTCACCTGTCTGTAACCCTTCAAATGGAATTATAGAGAATTATAGGGACAGTCATGAAAAGAATAACAGGTCAGCACAGACTTAGAATATTTATTATTTTATTCACTATTTTATATTAGTTTATTACCTACTATCATGATACATTTCCTCCATTCATTTATATGGGTAAATATTTTTAAATATAGTTGCCAGTGCTTAGCATTAATGAGCAGACAGGTGTAATTAAGAAACTAACACTGAATGTCAAAGATACAGATAATTTACCTCCCATAATTTTTTTCTCTAGTGAAAGCACTAAATCCTTCTTACGAACTGTAAGAATACAAAATCTAAGCCCATCTATGACAATAGAAGTGAAGAAGAGGTACGGACTACTAAACCTAATGAGACAATACATACAAACACATTAAGTGAATTGCATTGTCATCAATATATCTGTCTGGTTATCTTTCTTAATAGAGAAATTAGTTTATGTTACCAGTGTACGGAGAAAGACTGGATTTTAAATCCGAAAGTAGGTAGTAAGGAAAAAGTATAATAAAAAGTTTTTTAAAAGCTTTAAAATATTACTGAAAATAAACACACCTGGTTCAGCTACACATGGTTATGTCTTTCATTAAATAATGACTTATATATAAATAGTTAGAAATATAAAGTTTTAAGGTCTACAAACAAAACAAAAATGAGAATGTATATATTTAAATGTCGGAATTATTATTATATACATGGTATTTTTGCCAGAATAAATTAATTCCTGTTAAAACCAATTTATATATCAGGCTAAGACAAAAGTGCTGCTAATTTCATAGGCCCCAACAAGGTTTTTTTTTTTATGAAAAGGTGTGAGAAATAATTAAATACTACAGTATTTTCTCAGTAATTCGGAATCTGCAGTTAATCAGGAAGCAGGACTTGAGTGGTTGAAGCAAACAGCAACACTTAGTTTATTATGTAGCACATTCTCATTCAGGTTGTTTTATGATTGGATCAACCGCATTTTTACCTAACAATTTATTATGTTTACCCTTTAGCCAATTAGTTTCTCTCACTTTATACCTACTTACGGCATGGTGAGTTTGTTATGTATCAGCTTAAGTCTGCTTGTCAGGTATATTGGTGACAGACTAAAACCAAACACATCTGCTTAAGACATTAGAATTTCTGTGGCATCCAGAAATGTGAACTTTATTTCCTCCAAGCATTGTTTTGATATATTTTTTTTTAAAGGAAAAAAGGATATTAAAAAAAAAGAAACAGAATATTTTTTTTCCACATATGAAAGAAAAATTGGACTATTATTGTCATAAAAACATTTTAATGTCTGAGATTTTATTCTAAAGAAAATAATGCTGGATATTATGAATAATTTATTCTTTAGCAATACTGTCATCTAAAGATGTAATATAGTACAAAACATTTAGAGAGGGAAAAAAATTGGGAGTTTACTGGAATTAATGCAGACTATCAAGTTTCATGGGAGTGTTACAATTACAGTTTTTATCATTATAATTATCTAACGGTTTAAATATGTCTACGAATGTGTTCATTTCACAAGGAAATAGCAGCTGACTTTGGAATTGCTATAGCTGTTGAATTTAGTTCGGGATCATTTGTGAGCTAAATTTTTTTTTCACCATTGCTAAAATTACAACTTTACAAACGTTGCTTTAATATTAAATTATGAAGGCAATAACAAGCCACAATGAGTAATTTGTTGACTAACCCATGAACAATAAAGCACATTTGCTGAAACATTACTAAGTCAATAAAATCAATGATAACCTCTAAATGTTTCAGAGATTTTAATTTTAATATGTAATTTTTAAATGTATTCTATAAATTGACCAACCTAATTTATTTTTTATGAACATCAATGCATAAAATTCCAGCTGTGACTTTATTTATCTATAAATACTGATAAAGACAAAAAAAAGACAAAATAGTAATTATGCATTGCTGTTTATTGTTGTTCAAATATATGTAATTACTATTTTTATCTTAAAGGAACACTATAGGGTCTGGAACACAAACATATATTCGTGACCCTATAGTATTAAAAACATCCCCCTTCCCATAGTAAAATTTGACTTTCACCTCATTCTGCTGCTGCTGGCTCTGTCCATGATATGCCTGCTTGGCTGACATCATCAGAAGTGGTGATCTGAGCCAATCACAATGGTTTACCATAGTAAAGCATTGGATTGGCTGAGCTTGTAAAGGAGGTAGATCAGGGGCAGAGACAGCATAAGCCAAACACAACCCTGGACAATAGCATCTCCTTGTAGAGATGCACTAAACAATGCATCTCTATGAGGAAAGTTCAGTGTCTCCATGCAGAAGGTGGGGACACTACATGGCAGTGCTGCACACTGTGCAGCACAGCCCAAGGAAGCATCTCGAGTATCCATCTGAAGATTGGCCAATGGAGTTATCCCTGGCCTGTAATGTAAACACTGCATTTTTTCTAAAAAGACAGTGTTTACTACAAAAAGCCTGATTATACTCACAAGAACAAATCCAATAAACTGTAGTGGTCCTGATGGCTATAGTGTCCATTTCAGTGATGGCATTTTCGTAAGGTAATTACAAAATATGTTTTTTACAGCAAATATGTGCTCTATGGAATCAGAATGGGTAGTACAATCCCCACCTGGGATGCATTTAGATTAACACCTAGAAGTACTGCCAAGTAAAATTCAGGACTAGCAGTTTAAAATCAATCAATAAAAATTGAGGATTGTGCATTTTAGTCTAACATATTTAGATAAAAAACTAAATTGATCGAGAACCAGTATCCCTGGCACTGCTGCACCTTCTTCATCTAAATACATCCCAGGTGAGATTATACCACCTATGATGATTACATAGATCATGTATTTTCTCTGAAAAATTTACAAAAAAGTACAGTCTAGGAACACCTGTTGGTTTCCTAAAGAGGCAGTCTTTTATTCAGGAGTACAGAAAGTAGACAACGTATCAGCACCTATCCATGCCTATCCATGCCGAAATTTGACAAAGGCATGGATAGGTACCAAAACATTGTCTACTATCTGTACTCCTGAATAAAAGACTACCTCTTTAGGAAACCAACAGGTGTACGCAGACAGTTTTATTCAATTCCACAAGAAATTACAAGTTGTTACTACTAAAAAACAGTTACTAATAGCTCCCATCATTCTCTTTTGGAAGAATGTAATTCCAGCCCTGCCTCTACTTTTACCAGCTGCTTCTGAGCCTCCAAATTGATTGATAACTTGTGAATTCCCAGTGTTGGTAAAGCAACAACAAAGGATTGTAGGAATACTTCCGATGAACGTAAGGTTTGTCATTGTTACTTTGAATGCTTTAAGCCAGGAAAATTATTAAGCTAGAGCTGTACATTCTCAAGGAACTTTTAACAGAAATTCAAGCATAAAACATTTTCTTGCAAATGCTTTTTTTTATGCACACTAGTAAATCGAGTCGTTAGTGTTCAATATAATATATTAGTTTAATAAAAGCTTAGTGTTTAATATAATATAATAAAATGTCGTACTGTTGAATATTCTTCACTTTAAAAATGTTATACATAATAGTATTGCATATGTAACCATGGAAACTATGCAAAACTTTTTAATCTGTTGTAATTGACCCTAAAGTGTCAAAGGATTTATAAAAAGTGCTAATAAAGAGGCCCATATGATGCATAAATTATGTACATAATCCAAAAAGTGATAAATACAATGTGTAATTCATATTGCATAATAGTGACCTAATACAGTGATACATAATAAGTTCCATATATTAATAAGACTCAAATGTATATTTGCATAGTGTGCATAGTCTACATGTAATTATTAACTACGTAATACATCTATATAGTGGGAAGCACACACACACACACACACACACACATATTTGCACACAAACACACATTTTCTGCTAATAAAGAGCCTAACAAATTTTCACTGTAAAATTCTCAAAAATTTCAGTAACTACATGATCTTAAATTTGTTACAATCTGATATTTTTTTATTTTTTTATTTATATTTTTATTTTTATTTTATTTTATTTTTTATGCAGTAATATTATTTACATACATTTGTATGTATTATTATTCTTTTTAGACAGAACTCTCCAGTCCTGTATAACATTTCAACTTGCTAAATTACTTTAGGGGTTAACTAAAGAATCCTCTGCCTTATTTTATAAAAGTGGTGATTCCAAGAAAACTCATCACTTGTATAAATAAAAAACCTTAGTTGTGCCTTTCTGCCTGTCACGTTCCCAATGCTGCTCTATGAAAAGCATTTAATTGGACTGTAGATTTTCATGAGGGTGAAATGGGCTGTGTCACGAAAAGTGTAAAATTAGCCTATTCTCACCTGACATCATAGAAGGACAATACCAAAATATTACTTGTGATAAAAGGAGTATTATTAGCCAAAGTAAGAGCAAGCGATTGCTAAGGCGAATCAGTGAAAAAGTAAAGCGTATTTCTCTATAACCAAGTGGAACATGCCGAAAAAACCATATTTAGATGAATTAAACAGAATAAAGTAGCCTAAAAATTGATATGTACTTAATGTTTCAAGAGTGTGTCCTCTTTTTTCAATTTACAAAACGTGCAGATTTCACTAGAAATTGGCACTTTTATAAATTAGACTTGTTGCACCCCCTGTCAGTCAGACAACTGGTCCTGTTACTTCCTGGTTGCTTAGCTCAGTGGAGCTAAACTTGAGAGGCAGGCAGTTGCAAAGATTGCCTTGCAAAGACTTCTCATTGAGCAGCATTGGTTAGTCAGTGATTAGACTACTACAGAAAAATTGGGCAGGGTTAGAACAGGAAGGCTTGCAACTTGCAAAGGTTGCATACAAGAGATCTACAGCTTTTGCAAGTTGTTTGTAAAAAATACCCCCCAAAAATGTATAATTAAGATCATGAATGTTCTTTTGTATGTAGTAATGGGGGTTCTTTGTTATCAGACACCATCCTCTAATTCATGTTTACTTTGCCCCCAAAATGTGTAGAAAGTCTATTAAATGTTTGTTTAAAAACTAACCTATCACTTTATTTCGATGAGGCTCAGCAGCTTTCTCTAAACCACTCTCTAAAGTGTTCTTTTTGTAGAGGAAACATTGTTGCATTTCTTGCAACTGTATCTGTCTGAGCATCGGGTATGAATTTTATCTGAGAACTCGAAGCAATTGAGAAATTGGCATTGAGTTCTTCAGGGCAGATGGATGAAAAATGTCAGCTGCTAATAGTTTTTATCTGTGTCATTTTAATAAAGTGTGTAGACATTTTCCTGATATTCCAAGACAATGATCTAAAAGTATAATACAGCATTTATCCACTTTAAAGGAGAACTTGACAGGAAAATATTGATTATTCAATACATTGGTCATCTCCACAAATGACTTCACTGTTCCATGCCAAAAAAGTAAGACATTGTCGATGAAACATTCTTCTGACCAGAAGCGCAGATAGATACAGTTACAAGAAATGAAGCAAAGTTGCCCCAGCAAAGGATACAAAAGGAACACCTTATAGAAGGATTTAGACATAGCTATAATCATCTGGCAGATACCTGCTGAAGCCTCATCTAAAAATTTATATTGCAATGATGTGTAATGGTGCCCTGAATGGTCCTTTGAAGGGGATCTGTCACATTTGGGGGTCTTTCATATTTTGTAAAGACCCCCAAAAATGACATCTCCAGCTAGTGTCTTGTGGCCATGGGATGCAGTGAAGGGTAGATGTACTTACTTAAAGTTGTACCTCACAGCCACTGCCATCTTCTTCCTGGGAACCTTCTTCAGCTCCTGGCACTTTATCTGCCAGGACCCGCATCAATGCTGTTTGCTTACATGTTTGAGAGTACAACACTGTGGTCTATGGAGGACCCAGCGATACAATATATATTGATGTCAACCTCAGGCTTGCCCATAGCACAAAATAGCCCCTATTTTCTCTTATGGTGTAGTTGGTTGATTGGAATTTCAATCAAATTCAAACTTACTTAGCTTCAATATTTCATAAAGATTATATCTATATGAAATATTAAAAAGTGACAGACACACTTTACGTTAACGTCTATCCACCAGAAAATGTTTGGGGATGTGCAATTTTATTATTTTTTGTGCAAATGGCTGACATATGTTCGAGAAACTGTCTTCACTTGTTTTAGAACAAAGCCAAGCTACAGGGCAACCATGGGATTTGGTTGGAAGTTTGGAACTGGATTGGTCACCAGAGAATCAAGAGAAGAATGAAGAAGTCATGACTCAATAAGCTTAATATGTTGTAAGACAAGGGATACCATATGATGTTTAGTAACATGTGCTACCTGGTGAAGAGCTGAAAAGGATTGTCTCAGTCGTAATCGAAGACTGATTGGAACGTAGTCTGAAGACATCTGTTCTGCAAAGAATTCCTCAAAAGACCAATTAATCAATCAATCAATCAATCAAAGGTCATGTAACATGCCCCACAACAACACAAATGTGAGCTCTCTTCTCCACATTTTATGTAGTGTTGAAAAACAAAAGTCAATAAAGGTAGACAACGATTCTAGTGGGTCGTGTTACAATTAAATTATTCCGAATCCATCTGTTTACATTTGTTTTATTTGTTCATTATTTACAGAAATATTGGTAGTAAAAAGTTTTTGTCATTATACAGTATTGTTTATGTCATTATATATCATACCAGTGAAGCATAGTACAATTTTGTATCTTAAAGTAACTGTGACATTTTTAATGTGTGAAAATACCACTTATGGGTGGCTGTAAGGAACATATGTCATTTTGGAAGATGCAATTTAGCAAAAGTGCCACTAGAATAAAAGCATAATACATACGTACAGAAAATATCAGTTGCCTGACTAAAATCTGGCATATGGATCATGTAGAGCAGGGGTGCCCAAAAGGTAGATCCCCAGATGGTGTAGAACTACAACTCACATGATGCTTTGCATAGAGACTGCACATAAGCCCTGCATACAAGGTAACATTTACAATGTATTTGTATGCCTCTGTGTAATGCAAAGTAGACATTTTGTTTCTGCGTCAGGTGAAGATCAGTGCTGGAGTGGAGGAGAACAAGGATGGGTTTATTATTTACATTTCATACTGAATTGATTTGCAATGTAATACAAAATCTTATGTATACAAGAAATTGAGAGGGAATGGTTTAAAAAATTACATATTCTACTTTTGAAAACATGGAATCTGGTTTAGATCAAGTTTTTATTTCAGGAACAATGCAGACAAACATTAAAAGAGTTCATCATACTTAGAACCTTTGTACTGTAGACAAACAAATTTAAACATAACCATGTGTTTTATTTTTATGTTATATATAAAAGTTTGTTACGTTTGCACCGCACATTATTATAAATTATTTTGAATACATACTGTGATCTGCTTTAAATTTCCCTTCTGATAAAACATGATTAAGATTGAAACAGACATAATATATTTTTGGTATTGTATTAGACCTCTGTAATAACCATGGGAGATATTTTAGTGAGGAACTAAAAAAAACTCTGATGAATCTATATTTTTCTTTTTAAGTGTGTCTTAATTTCCATGTCAGGCAATCTCTGTACATTCTGATTAATGATTTCCCTTCCTCTACAATCTTTTTCATAGTTCCACTGCCAAGAAATAATTGTCATAAAATTTTCAACTTTGTTTTTCTATCACCTGAATGTGTACCAATGGCTTATTTTATGTCTCTCTTGGCATTTTTACCAAAGCACTTACTGTGATAGCTTGGACTGACCTTTGTGGATGATTAATACAGTGCTATAACTGATGACATAAATCTGTTTCAGACTGCTGTGCACACATAAGTTCTCATACACTCTTGTTGGATGCAAACCTCTAGTAATGTTGACATTGAGCAGATATCGCAAATCTAATAATGTAATTAAACCACGTTTGTCATTTTTAGAACAGCATGCCAAAAAATAGTTCAATCTAGTTTAGTGTGGTAAACAATGTTATGTAACAAAATTAAATTCAATTTTAAGATGATTTTTGTAAATGTTATTCATTTTACAAGTATGATTTTTTT